CAGCTCCCCGACAAGTTTAATATTTTGTTTTTTTTAACAAATAAACCTTTTCTAAATAAATGAGTCAAATCTGTAAATATCATTCAGGGAAGTCGTTATTTATTTTAGTCTTAAAAGATTCGTATAAATTGATTTCTGACATGCAATACATATGCAATAGAAACTTAAAATCAAATTAAACCCTTTATTATAAATCCCTTTTATGTTAACGGATGCCGATAAAAATAAAATAGTCTCAAAGACCCCCCACACAGAACTCCCCCACTGAAGAACTCCCCTAGTGTACTCCTCCTTCTTCCTAAATCTTGTTTATATGAAAATCTCTGGTCGAATTGTGGTTGAAGCAATTCTTGTGTATTCATTTCCCATTTGAACAATCCTCCTCCTTTTTTCTACTTTTTAAAATTTTTACTGCTGCGATGGTTTTTATTTCACGATTTTTACCCATCATTTATTTTTAGAAATTCAATTTTCTAAGAAAGAAGGCTATTAAATTGGATAATTTCTTTTAGGGAAATTAACACCATTTTAAAAGTAAGTAAAGATATTATTTTTTAAAAAAAATGCAAGGAAAAGAGTTTTAAAAAGGAAACAATGTTACATCACAGCTTCGAAATGAAGTCGTTGCTCTTCAAAACACTTAGAAACGAAGTTTTAGAAAAAAGGACTACAGAATCAAACTCCCTTTACTTTATCATAAAAATTCTCTTCAAAATTGAAATATAAAATTTTACGAGTAACAAAATCTTAGGAATAAAATCTTACGCTCTTACTTATCTTATGTTGGTGCAATATTAATCTATGCGAATACCTTTTTTTCTGGACTCTCAAAATCTGCGAATTCGGTCGAAAGTTCTAACCGCTTCATGTTTCCTCAAAAATTATTTTATGCGAACATTATTCTTACAACTGTAAAAGCCGTTTATCCTAAAATTATTTATTCCTTAAATCTGACTGATTGAATTATTTTTAAGGGCAGATTTCCCGTAAATAACTATTAATACAAACATCATTTTGAAAATCAATGTTATTTTTTTTTTAAAAATATGTAAAAAAAAAATATGTAAAAAAGCTTTAGAAAGAAAACAATGTTACAGCACAGTGAAGTCGTTGTTCCTCAAAACACTTAGAAACGAAGTTTTAGGAAAAAGGACAACAGAATAAAAATCCAGTTTTTTCTTCATCTTGACTTTATCATAAAAATTCTCTTCAAAACAGAAAAATAAAATGAGGTCTTACGAATACAATTAGGAATGTCAGGAAATGTTGATGCAATATCAATCGATCTTTCACTGAATATCCTTATTCTTGCCCCTTAAAATCAGCGAAAATGAGACTGAAAAGCGGTCGAAAGCTCTGACCGCTTATCCAAAACGAACATTTGGTGCGAACATTATTCTTGCAATTGTAAAACTCATTTATCCTAAAACACTTTATTCCTTAAATCCTGATTGATTGAATTATCTTTAAGAGCAGATTTCCCGTAAATAAATATTAATACAAACAAAGCGTAACACTATTTCCTTCCTTTTTAACCATTCTGTATAGTTTCTCACTGCATTTGCATAGTTTAAATCCCCCCCCTCAGATTTCGGGAGGACTTGTGAAGCAAAACTCTCGAAAATAAATATTAATAACTCTAATATTTTAAAAATAATTTTTAATTAACCTTCATCAATTTTTAAGTAACTATTATGGTATTACTTTTTTTAGATTTTGTTTATAAATTATCTTGCTGAGTTGCACTTCCATAAAAACCTCTCTTATTAGTAGTCCATTCATTTATCAATTCATCCATTGATTATTCAACTCATTTCCTAATCAAATGTTAACTTCAACAACACTGATAATGTCAGTATGTTTCTCCAATGCTATAATACCTCCCTAATAATAACACTCCGTACATTTTATCAGACGCTTTTATCTAAACTTAAGTCTTAATAATCCAGTGATACAGCATTATTGTTTTTAAGCGGCGATTTGCACTTGTTTATACGTTCAATGGGTTAAATGAGACGGTTTTCAATAAAATATAACAGTAGGGGAGAGTGGTGTCAATTGTAACAGGGTACGATTGTAACAGAGCAAAAATTTCGAGTGTCGGGTTCTAGATTTGGTTCCTAGGTAGAGCATAAGGTGTATTTAATAAATCTACATGTACACCCCTGCTGGCAACCATTTTTATGTACTTTTGAAAGAGTTACATCACAAAAGATATTTTCACGCTACGTAAGTACTTTTTTTGGTATTAGAATATTATATTGTAACAAAGTAATTTTGTTTAAACAAATAAAAATTAGTAACCGAATATGTAAGTGGACACTTTAATTAACATTTCAATAAAAAAAAAGATTAGTTTTGCTAATTAACTAGCATTGTTTTTAACAAATGAAGCTGAAATGGCGTCTTGGGGACAATTGTAACAATAAGTAAAGGGACGATTGTAACAGCTGAAAATAAATAATCTTATGTTTACAAACCATTACTTAACTCTTTAAGAACCACCAATAGTTTCCTATATCATTTATATTATGTTGCATGTGCATTATTTTATTTGTCACCTTTCACAGCATAAATTAAAATTTTTAACCCCTTAAAGTTAAAAGTTTAACCCTTTAGGTCTCTGCTCATTATTATTTTTACTCCTAAAATATCACTACTATTTTGATCAATAAAAAAATATATCACAACTATGATAATATGTATAATTAACTATGTTTTAGTTGAATTTATGAACTGTTACAATTGACCCCGTAAGTGGGGACAATTGTAACAAGTGCACGACTGTCAAAAATTGTTAATAACTAATATAATAATATTTAAAATCAGGTATTTATTTTTTTTCTAGTAGAGGATAGTCTACTTTACTCGTCTGTCAATTAATACTAATAATATATTGGATTTTTTGTTAGTTAAAAATAGTCAAGTAAAAAATGTTACAATTGACCCCACTCTCCCCTACCTTTCTAGATTAGTAGACGCACTAAAAGATTCCTTGTGAAATCTTAATTTTCAGGTGATACTCTATACAGCTTTATTGTTTTGTATGTGACAGGTTTGCACTTGTTTACGTTCATGCATCGATAGGTTAAATGAGACTGTATATAATATATAAATATAGAATATTTATTATATCAAGTATATTATATATCAAGTATATCATGTATTTATTATATATTAGTATAGTATAATAATTAGATCAAATGAGTAGACGCTCTGTAGTGTTTTAATAACTACATGTTTCGCACGAGTTTATAGGCAATACTTTAATATTTAAACACACATAGAATGGGTTTTTATTTAAGAGATTTTTTATAGACTTCCTATTTGTATTAATGTATTATTTTTTAACGTATTACATTACAATGCTAACTAATTGATACACGAACATTAGCAAGTACAAACCGGTTTCCGCCGCCTAAAAACAACAATGCTGTATACTGCAGTGTTTCCCAAAGGGCGGTACGCGTACCCCCAGGGGTATGGGAATAGCTTAGCGGGGGTACGCGCTCATAAGCGAAATATTTTGCAACAAACGAAAATTTCATAGAATTTTATTTGAAAACAAAGCTAGCCACGATAATTTACGATTGCGCATTTTTCAATTAGTTATTTTTAGAGTTAGCAGTTAATAGTTAGTGCCGTCAACAGCCAGTTGTGATTTTTAACTTTCGTTAAATTTTCTATAGCAAAAAATGCATTCATTTTTTTTTTTTTATGAGTGGTACGAAAAATTTAGAAAGAGTACACAAAAGTCATAAGTTTGAGAAACACTGATGTATAGTATCACTCGATAATTAAGATTTTGCATAGAATCCTATAGTGCGTCGAATAATGTGGGCAGAAATTGTATAGTGTAATGCTTAATATTAAAAATTAAAAAAATTGATCCTAGTTTGGTTTTTTGATTGTTATTATTTTTTTTAAACTGACCCCTGACTCGTTTCGCTCAATCCCTATTTTAGCATGAGTTGCACAATGAAGAAGCTAAGCCTAACTACAATTCAATTGGAAATGTTTGTTATGATATTACAATTCAGACAACAACAACTCATTCACGAAACAATTAATATAACAAGAGTGAGAATAAGAAAATGATCATTTAAATCAGGGCAGGGGTTTCCAACTGACATGAGGGCGGGGGCAAAAATTGAAGACACAAATCAAATGGCGGGCCACAATTTTATCAAAATTTTATGTAGGACTCTTTTAATGCTTGAAGGAACATTAAATATCACTGTCAGATTTTTACCAAGTTGTACAAAACAAAAGTATTGAATTGCAAATTAAAATAAGAAGTAGATTTTAAAAAATATTTAACGGCATATTAAAAAGATTCGGGCTACCATAACTTTAATGTGCACCTATGTATTAAACAATTAATGTGCAACAGATGTCTAATGGTTAAGATATAAAGCTTTAAAAAGGTTGGTATTAAAACTTGCATAGTAGCACACAAAATGTTCCATGAGAAAATTGAGGTGTGTCTGCTGCAACCACCAGAGAATAGATATTTACATTTTAAATTTAAAATTTACAAATGTGTGTGTCAATATTTTCGTCCAAAATGAGTGGTTTCAAAAAGTTAAATCGGAGAATTTCTCCGAGAAAATGTCTGATACACACACGCTAAATTATGTTCACAAAACACCCAAAAAAATGAAATAAAAAAGAGCAACATACACGATTATTTTTGTATTTGAATAAATATTTTCTTGGATGCAAAACCTGAGAAATAAATTTATTTGCACCGTTGGTTTGATAAATTTCGCAGAAACGAAGAAATTAGGTTTTTATTAACGAGAAAGTATTTTACAGTACCCAAAGAGATTTTTTACGAAAATTGTCCGCAGAAAAAATTACACCTAATATATTTTAGCTCGCGGGCCACAAAAAAAAGAAAGCTTAGTGGGTCTGCCTGTTGGGTATTATGGAATACAAAAAAATGCTCTTGTAAGGAAAAAATTTATGTCAACTAAAGAAAAAAAGAATTGTTTTACCTTCTGAAATTTTGTCCTTTGCAGCTGCAGCAGCCCCCCCTCTCGCCATGATCGCCGCAATCGAGAAGTCGGTCGCGGCGATGTTTTTTCCGTGAGGAAGTGCCGTTTCTTGCATTTGGGTCGAGTTTTCCGTGCCCACGAGTAACATTGGATTCTCTCGAATAAAAGCACTTTTTAAATGACCAAATTAAATGTTCTTTGGAATCATTTTTAAATGACCGAATTCTTTTGAATCATGTCCCCCCAAAACAAACGTGGTCCATAAGGTCAAAACACACATTTCACGGAAAACATCGCGAAAAAGATGATGTCACGGGATCTCAGATCTCAAGCACTTATCACTCGCACTTTTCCGTTTAAACAACTGATTCTCAGTCGGCGCGTCGTTTGCCCGGATTGGGCGTCCAATGAGGGAGGGGGAGACGTGACGGTGGGCGGGTACTCTTTTCGACTCCGCCCACAAGTGATGCTGAATGGAGATTGCGTTCCACCTATTAAAAAGGCGGAACGTTAAAAAAGTTCTCGGTTTCGCCGAAAATGAAGAGATATGATAGAGTACTAATGAATGAAGTGTAAATTAATTATGGGTTGGGATGATAATCATTTTTTTCTTTCTTCTTTTTTAACGAAACGTCAAGATTTGCGGTGGCTGTCATTTATTCTACGGCCGTTTCACCTTAACGTTAGGCGACAGCGTTTAAGTGCGCTTTAAAAGCTGCAGATTTCTTCTTTTTTTCTTTTTTTTAATACTTTGTGCAGTGTCATTAATTTAAGAGCAAATGAATTACGGCGTCTTTTCCTAATATTGACCCTCTTTCGGCGATAAACAAGCCCTCATTAAGTGCTTTGTTAGCAAGTGCTTCCATCTTTACTTTATTAATGTTTGATTTTATTTAATAACTGTCGTTGAACGGCTGACCCACTTTTTTGGGGTTTACGACTCCGTATTAACTCCGTTAGCCTTGTCATTTTGAATCCCATCCAGAAGACAAGGGAACTCCTCGATCAAGTAGTGGGGAAAAAGGGCCTTCGTGGAGACTTTTTGGTGAAACTTACCCGCATTTGCTTTACACGGAGATGAAAAGCACGAAACCCTCCCACGGTTAGCCTGACGCCAAGGGGACTTTAACCCATGATTCATCTACCACTGCTGCAGATATTCTACGCCAGCACTGTGGTTGGCACAAGCCGGAATTCGTATCGTCCAGCCATCCCTGGTATGCAAACCGGGTCACCCTCTTTGGTAGCCCCTGAGCGGCTATTTACTTTCCTTTTTTTTCCTTCATGTCCGTCGTTGAACAGCCGATTTTTGGCTTAAGACTACTAATGTTCAACTCCGTAGCCTTGTCATTTTGAACCCAATCCAGAAGACAAGGAAATTCCTGGATCAGTACCCCCTGAGGTATTGTTTTGTTATGGGAACATGGAGGACTTTGCGACTCGACGGATTTAACGTGCATCAGTCACCATTTACTACGGGGGAAGATTTCGGCCGGCGGGGATCAAACCCACGACCTCTTGAACATGGGTCCAGTGCCCCACCCACCAGGCTGTCACGGCCCTATTTACTTTCTTTGCGAGAATTTCATCAAATATATATATTTTTTTTTTATAAATGCTTATCTAACATGAATAATATTACAAACATTACCTGAAAATAGAGTGTTTTGGCTAATCTCTGATCCCTTGCTGAAAAATCCACAATGGAATAAAATTAATACTTAATCTGAAGGTACAAAACATGACAGGAGAAATACTTTCAAGTGTAAAACATCTTAATAATACACTGAGTGTTTCCTAGATGCCGTAGTTGAAATATCTAAAGTGTTGACTACTTTTGGTGTGTTGTTTCTCAATTGATTTTGACAGAAAATTGGTAAAACATTTATTTCATATAAATATTTTGCACAAAATTTAAAGTCAACATTTAAGGAATGGAATGTTCTCCCGACTAAACTATTGAGACCCGATTTTCCAGATTTTATTACAATGAAAGTGCGTCTGATTTCGTAACTTAAAATAGTTTGATCATTCAGGTTCGATCAATTTAGGATTCGATCATTCAATTGAATCTTAGGTACGCTAAGATATTTTTTATTTATTTATTTGTACATTTCAGAATGATTCAATCTACAAGTTTTGAGGTTTTTGTATGGTATTTAAATAGTGGTCCCCCAGTGGACTGATCGTTAAGACACGGTTCCCAGCAGATCACCGAAGTCAAGCATCACTGGCTGCGGTCAGAAAGAGGGTGGGTGACCACTTTGATCAACCTGGGTAGTGGGTAGAGACCGAGGGTGTGTCCTCGTTAAACTGTTCTACCGTAAAGTGCTCGACTTCGCGTGCAGGGGTCGCCGGACTACCGAAGCGGAGGTGCCATCCACTCTACAGAGGATCAAAAATTGTGATGGGCATGTCATCCTCAGGGATGTTTCCCAGACCTACAGCAGTAATTAAATAGTGCAGATTTTAAGTTAACGAAATTATTTAGTATAATAATAATTACATTCTGCTCTCGTTTCTTTGGTATTGTTCGAGTCTGAGAGGAACGCTTTGTCGACTTAATCGGGAACGTGAAGAAATCTCTACCCACACACGTGATCTATGACGTCAGCTGATCCTCCATATTAAAGTTTCTCTACCTAACTTAGAATGTTCATTAACGCTAAGAACGAAACACAGAACAGTATCGCACATCAAATTCTTTCTTTCCTATTTGTTTATTGTAACAGTGATATAGTTTTCTTTTGTGTGCCTTTCATGCATACAAATTTTGCTTGTGTTCTAAATTAAAAAAGTGTTAAAAACTAATATTTGTATGCATTATTAAACAACAAAAACTTTTTATAGAGTAGCGATGGCTCAGGGGATAGAGCGTTCGCTTTCCAATGAGGCGAACAGTGTTCGAATCCCAGTCGATGCGCATTCCGCATCCGGCTTGCACCGACCACAGTGCAAATATCCTCAGTGGTAGACGGATCAGGGGTTAGAGTCCCCTTGCCGTCAGGCTAACCGTGGGAGGTTCTCGTGGTCTTCCTCTCCATGTAACGCAAATGCGGGTTAGCTCCATCAAAAAGTCCTTCACGAAGGCAAAATTTCTCCCTATACTCGATCCAGGAGTTCCCTTGTCTTCTGAATTGGATTCCAAATGACAAGGTTACGGAGTTGAACATTAGTAGTCGTAAACCCCAAAAAATGGATCGGTCGTTCAATGACGGTAATGAAATAAAATAAAAACTTTTATTACATTTTACTTCTGTAGCAGCTTCCCAAGACACTAAATGATCGCGAAACATCTAATGATCGCCAAAATTGTCGATGAAAAAAGTAAAGCATCTGATCTTATCAATTATTGGTGTATAGATATAAATACCAGGGCTAAAGAGAATCGAAGGGCTGGTTCACTCCTTTGAAGTATCTCTTGCCGCGCCGATCCTCCGACGTCACTCTAGTGACGTCACTTTGGCGCAAAGCTCGCACTTTTACTTCAAGAACGGAGCGTTTGGCCTTACTAGCTCTAACTAATATTGGATCATTTCTTTTTGCGAGATATTCTAAGACATTTGTTATTTTCTATAATGACTTTCCTCAGTTTTTGCAGTGAATTTACAAGAATTTAAAACTATTATCGAAATGCCAGTTTGCGCGATTGCAACTTGCAAAAATTCTGATATAAAAACAAAAGGAAAAAGTATAATTTTTCGCGTGTTCCCTAAAGTAAATGAACAACTATGTAAAGAATGGATTCCGAAATGACACAGTTAATATAAAACAGCAATACGTTTATTCTGTCGTAAAGAACTTTTATAAAAATTCATTATCTAAATAGAAACCGCCTCGTTACTTCATAAAGAAAGGCAGGTGAAAAGAATTAAAAAATAGATAAAGTCAAAGAAAATTAAAATGTAAGTAAAAAGTATAAATAAAATATATAGTATATAGTTGAAATTCTCCTAATTTCATAACATATTTTTTAATGTAGTTATTCTAAATATTTATGATTTTTTTTAAAAATTATATTCTCTTCAATTTAAATATCTATAAATTATATCATCGTAAATTTAAATATCTATAAACAATTGTAAAATTTCTAATGTCATTATGAACCTAAATTATTATTTTGTTTCAGTAATTAGCGTTTAAGGTTGATGTTTCCTAATGATTAAGTATGAACAAATTGCTATTAACGGCATATTTTAAAATCAGGGATTCTAAATTTCACTCAACTTATTGTTATAAAAGAATATGTAGATAGAATATGTAGTCGATACATGCTTTCATTTTTCTTAATAATTAAAGTTAAAACTGAACTTTTTAAAATAAAGTATTTATAGTGTCATTTTCGCCAACTAGTAAAATACGTTTATAAGTTTAAAATGGTATTTTTTTTTAATATAAAGGGCAAGAAAGTTTTTTTGAACTATGTTTATGAATGGAAATAATGTGTTAATTACGTAAAGTTTGAAAGCTAATAACCAGAAAAAGTCTAACTTATTTTTAAAGGGAGAAAGATGCAAAGTTATCATAATATCTTTAAGTGCGATCTTCCGAGATCTGTGGACACAGTGACGTCATGAGGAGGGAAATCGTAGCTTCAGATCTAAGAGCGGAGTGAACTAGCCCTTCTATTCTCTTTAGCCCGGTATAAATGCACCCTTCATGATTCGGTTTTAACTTGAAATAATATACAGTTTTTCAACATCAAGTAAAATTTTCATCAGGGTTATACAAAACATTATATCTTTCCAGTAAATGAATGAGAGAGCTGAATAGTCTTTTTTTCTTCAAAGAATGCGTTTGATTTCAATTTTTATGAATAATCCTAAAAATTGTATTATTTAACGTATAAAAATATTTTACCTACTAAGAAGCGTTCAACGAATCCAATGACAAAACATTTTTTATTGATAGATGCGAAGATTTAACAAAGAGTACAATCGCTTTAGTTTTGAAAGTTTTCGAAGCCGTGAGTTTCACATCGAATGTTTCCTGTGTAATTTAATAGTTATCACGTGATCTTTTTAAAAAATGAAAATTAGCTACTTTCTATAGAAAGGAGTTGTTGATCTCAATGCGTTGCAAATGATTCAAATTACAAGTTGCGAGAATAAAATTTATAGATTCAATTTTTTAGTACTTGTTAGACTCTTCAATATTCAATTTTTTGAACAAAAGAGCCAGCACAATGGAAGGGAAATCAGATCTATCAACTTCATCTTCATACAATATTTCTAAAAAAATAGAAATTATTAAATTCCGCAAAAAAAAAATTTTTTTTTTTTTAAATTTTTCAACTGAATTTCTCTGCGAGGAAAATTGGAATAGAAGAAAAAGCAAACAAAACCTACTTTACATTAATATTCTACTTTAAAAGTAGTTGCTGTAGT